CCTTTCTTTCCTTTCTTTCCTTTCTCCCCTCCCTCCCTCCTCTCTTACCTCTCTCCTTCCTTCCAGCCCTTCCAGCCCTTCCCCCTCTCCTCCTCCCCCCACCGTCTCTTTCTTCCCCCACCCCCCAATTTTTTCCTTCTCTCTTTCCTTCAACTTTTAAAAAAGCAAGAAGAGCCTTGCTCAAAGCTCATCTAATTGAATGGCACCAACGTGTCTTCAGGAAACCCAGTGCCAGGGACAGGAGAGTGATAATCCTGCCTCCTTCTGGTTCTCTTGCAGCTGGGTGACCTTGGCTCAGCAGCCACGTCCTTGTACTTGGATGGGAGATGACCAAGGAATCTCAGGGCTGGAGGCTAAGCTGGAAAGTCAAGGAAACACCCCAGGAGGGGGCAATGGGGAAGCCGCTCTGCACCTTTAGCAGGAGAATGGTGTGGTTATAGCCATTCAGTCATCAGGAGCTGATGAACATGTTTATCTTTTCCCCTGGACTGCAGGAGTGGTAAATAGCCATCAAGATTAGCAACCATCCTGCAGGACTTTGTTCAGCCTCCTTTTACAGCTATCTAAACTGGTGGCCCTCATCACCTCTGGCAGCAAATCCCACGCCTCAAGGGTGCTAGCAACAGTGTAAAGGGAACTACGTACGCAGGTTCAACTCTTTTAAAAGAGTTTGGGCAGTCTGCAGAACAAAACCCCTGTCGCCTCTCTGCTTCTCCAGAGACCATCCAGGGACAGGGTGGTACAACTTCTGCTCCCTTTTTCCCAGCAAAGGTGGGCCTGGAAGAGAGTCCCTAGCCAAGCACCCTGCGGAGGAGTAGTGGCGGGAGAAGAGGCAGGGAAGGGGAAAGGTGCCCTGGGGTTTTCTTCCTGACCTGACTCACAGGTTATCCGGCCACATGAGCCGGGGTGCAGCTCCCTCCTGGGCTGCTGGGAAGTAGAAGGCCAGAGGTCTTGGACTACACCACAAGGACGCTGTGGGACAGAACAGCTCCATTCTGAAAAGACGGAGCCTGAGCCCTCTGCCCGGGCGTGGGACCACCTCACCCCATCAAACAAAGCCCTCTTAAGAATGCCGGTTCAGATCCGGATCCATCTGATCTATCTTCTCTTGTCACCCACCATGGTCGCCGACAAGTCGCCCGGGGGCACCTCCCCTCCTGCAAGGGTCCTTGGAGAGACCAGTGGCTTCTCGTGCTGGGGGTGACCAACTAGCCGTCCGGAGCAGCGGCCACCGACAGCCCCAGAGCTGCCGGATCCTCGGCGACCTTCCTTGCCTTGCCAGGCTGAAAGGGATGGGCTCCCCGCCCGGCTCCCAGCCCAGCCCAGCCCAGCCCAGCCCAGCCCAGCCCGGCTCCCCCTCCCTGGGGTGGGTGTGTCGCCGCTTCATTGACACTTTTGGCCGGCTTTCGCTCGACGTCAGGGAGGCGTGACCAATCAGCGCCCTGCAGCCG